TGTGGTGTCCCTTCGAAATCTGTGTTAACTATCACATACAGAAAAGTCTCTCTTCTCAAGCCGCAAGTGAAAAAATTTCGCTCCTGTTTAACATGGAAATTCGTAATGATGTTCACGAGAGCTCCTTACTCTGCATTACCCTGAATTGCATTAACCCAACCCTCGCTATGAATCTCTTTTATTTATAATATTATTTCCATGGTATCCCTTGCAATGTAAGGCTCTGAAGGCTATGAGATTATCATAATATAAGTGTAGGTTAAAATGTTTTACAATTTGTCAGCAGTCTTGAAAGTCACTTAGTTGTCTGACTGATAATGAAATATGCGGATGACAAACCAAGGCAACATCAGGCAAAACGGATGTCTCAGGGGAACCCCCACTACAGCAGAATATTCTAAATTTCAAATCTCACAATAAACTAGTGCATGTGCAACGTTGGTTATGTTCATAAACTATTTGTGATCAGCGTATATACAGTGAAAATTATATTAATGTTATATTTGTTCAAAGCCTATTAAAAATGGGCCTGCCTGTCTATGGTAGAAGCGGTGGTGAACGGCACGTGCACTTGGATCGTGGTTTTGTTGTTGTATTTCCCAGCGCACAATCCTCGAAATTGAATGACCTTCATGTTTCTGTCAAACGCACAGCAGATAAATAGATTAAGGCAATAAAATAATGTGTGAACATGAACGAATGAAATATGGGAAATGGTAGTCAAGAACAAGATGAAGAATCCAGAAAAAACACAAATATTCTACAATGGAAAATCACATTAATGTATAAAGGAACAATGTGGGAGATTTCCTACTTTTATTTCCAGATTAACTTTCTCTTTTTTCTTTTTGGTTTCGTGGAGTGGGGTGAGACTAAGTACACTTGGTACGTCGGTCAGTAATTGGCCTACAACACCAGCCCCGGATGATAGATGAGTATGGAGCATTTTGGTGAATGAGAATTGGTAAGGGAACCCCAAGTACCCGGAGAAAACCTGCTCCAGAGCCACTTTGTCCAAAATAAATTCCATATGACTTGACCTAAGATCGTACCCGGTCCACCGCAGGGCTACCTTTCGTACTTTATGGTAAGTATTGTATAGTTTCGCTACATGTATACCATTGCTAGGCAACGTGTCGATAAACAAGTTCCAGCGAAGAGAGATTCTTGGTAAACAGTATGTTGCTTGGTTACGCAACAATAGATGAGGCTCTTTTCAATGTCGCAGTGCCGAGCAGCGGTAGAACAACGATGCTATGCAACCCGTTTCTAAGCAACGGTTCGGTAAATACACTTCCGTATAAGAGATGACGTCAGCAACAATAGGGTCTATACGGAGTGAGAAGTTAATACGGTTATAGAGTTATTACAAGGGCAGTTACGAGACAGCTGTAAGCTGAAAGGATGAGTCCAGAAGAACTTTTAGTTCCGAAGTTCTAGAGTGACTGAAGAAGAAATAGCAAGAAGACTTCATAGTGATATGAAGTGCTAGTTTCTGTGTTGAGATCCGTTGTTGGGAGACGACTATCGGATACCCAGAATCCTAGTGCGTGTGCAGCGGTGGACTGGAAAGTGTGTAAATCAGGGATAGCGCTGTATTTGTGGTAATTAAGAGAACTTGTAACCAAGGTGCTGATAAATCTAGTCACCCGATCTAAAATCCGCTATTTCTGTCACGCGTACCACCCTACACCTAACAGTATTTTATGGTACTTAAGATATTATGTAAGCAAGTAACACCAAGCCAGTGGTTTATGCATTCCATTTAACTGAAATTCTTCCTGGTCCAAAGTATATTGAAAAATATTAGCAATGAAATATCCCTACTCCTATATCGCAGCGAAGAGGAAATGTTTCTTGCACAAGATATCAACTGTTACGGAGCCAGAAATTTCATTATCTCCACAACTTCGCTCCACATCTTTCTACCCTGAGCCAGATGGACCAATCCCATATCGTCACATCCTGTTCCTTTAAGGTCAGTTTAAATATTATCTTCCAATCTAGTCTAAGCCTTGCCAGTGGTTCCGCCCTTTCAGGGTTTCAGCGTTATGAGGTATGTAATAAAACTTAGCAGCTAAAACATGTATAAAACACTTTACAAACAAATAGCTTTTTAAATTCGCATGAAGTCGGGGGTTGTTTCCATTATCCTGCAGTGAATCTCTCTCACTAGAACTTAATATTTTGCAAATATGCTTGCATTGCACTAAAGATAACAACAAAATGCTATTCATGAAGGAAAGGGAATTAATTTGCTTTGGTACTTCTACAGAAATATTTCGTCTGAATTCTCTATTCACTGAACCTTCATTTCATTAAAATATTTTTATGGTGACATAAAAGTTTGCAATAAAGCAGAAGTGTTTTTTTAATAAAATAATTTCCGTGATCTTCTTTGACTGCATGTTTATTTCAGTGTGATATGATCAACAATTTCATGCTTTTTGTTTTTCACTTATGTAGTCATTCTCCGTGTTTGTTTAAAATGTTTTGAGTGTCAACTACAGCTGCCCAGCCTGACTACATAGATTGTCATGCATGCTGAAAAAGAAAATGTACGAAAATTTATACACACTGGTGGTATCGAGGTGAATAAAATATACGATATTATTCTTAGGACTGGGTCGCAAAATAGGGGTTTGCTTATATTAACAGGAAGTAGAACACAATTGTTGCTAATAAATCAAATCCACACGTTCGAAATATTTCTACACAGATGCTAACTTTAAAATTGTGAAACACTCTTAGTTCAGGACTTGTAAATGAAACAAATTTCAAAATGATCCAGAATTTAATATAGGCTCTACTCAATTTATCCATAACCTAAGAAGTACTTTCTGATACTTGATGTTTTTATTCTGGTTCTCTAACCTACAGGATGCAAAATAAATGACCTCCTCTTCCTGAATGTTAACATTACATTTATGACGTACTCTCTGCTACCACAACGAGGCTCTGGCGACCGAGATGTGACAGAACAACTCATGCATGTGATGAAGGGAGGATGTCACTGGTCAGATATTCGTTTTGTCTCATTTGACTAGAGTACTTAAGTATTTATAAATTGATCCGTCCTCTAACATGATGAAAATAATAGTAACCAGCACACTTGGGTCGAACCTAGAACCAGTAATCAATCAAAGTGGCAAATCTACAGTTTTACGAGGAGATTTGCTTTTACCACACCTGGGATTTAACACTGGATCCCCGCAGCGAGAAACAAATGCCAAACTGCCTTAGTTGCGGCACGGCTCCAAGGGAATGTATTGGCTTTATAAATTTTAAATTTGTGTATTTGAATTTAATATCACTTCAGTACTTAGAAATTATGCAGATTATACACTGGTCTCCAGCAGGCCAGATCTGGCTTCCATTAGTTGCAATGCAATTTCTTGTTGATGTTCGTAAAGTGCCTATGCTTTATAACTCCCCCAGCACCACTGGTAGTGTACAATGTATGATATTAAGACATAAGTGTCTACGGAAGTAATAATGCATTAGTGCTGAGTAGGCATTAATATTTGTTTCTATAACGAATCTAATAGCCTATAGACAGTACAAAAGCTATGGTCCTCCTAGAAATCTAAGTAATAAAACAATATATTATAACATGGTTTCCAACATTTCGTAATTTAACTGTCATATGGTTTACTAAAATGTCACTAAATCTAGTCTAGTCTAGTAACCATCTCATACTTTCGCACTTAATAACACAGATATTTAAGATGTCTTTTAACATGTTCCAGAGTCAGTCATTATGACAATGTGATATTTCTTTTATCCTGTCCATGGTTTATGCTGACCGTCTTACAGTGTAGTCATTTTAGAATGAAGACATCATGGCATGCGGTACAATAGTTTAACGTGCATAAAGACACCTGAACATGGCACATTAGTGCTGAAACATGTAGTGTGGAAGTGAAGAATAAGGTGAAAAAGTGTATAGTGTATACACTGTAAGACGGTCAGCATAAACCATGGACATTAATCAGTGTAACGGGACGCTAAAATAGAACATTCTTTTATACCGTCAAAATCTGCCCACCCTCGTAGCCTGTAATTATATAAGCTTTAATTTGTTTTTCACACGTTAACCTCTACCGTTGTTCAAGGCATTGATAAGTGTAGCAATATATTTTCAAGTTTAAATAAAACAAGAGCACTTTATTTGTTAAATACATAATACTGGGTATCTCGCCAGTCCATTGGCGCGCTGGCTGTTGCCTAACAACGAGATTTAACATTCGTTCGCTGAGACAGTTTCCATTGCTGCTCGTTGGAACAGGTTTACCGAGCCGTTGCCCAGAAAAGTTTTGAGCAAATCTGTTTCAATATATAATAATTTAAAAATTCCCACGGTCTATGTATTTGCTTTTTTTGAAATACCTAGCAGAATACGAGTATATGAGCGAATATATAATGCGCAATAAGATTTCGTGAGTATTTGGAGGGGGAATCTTTCATATTACATTTCTGTAAATGCTATCGCCCAACAAATGTATGACGAGGATTTCTCAGGATCGCCCACGTGCACTGTGCAACCTGAAAACATAGGCCTGTACCCCTACATGAAGAGCAGAATAGTGACGTCGGACCTCATCTACCAAACACTGGCTTCGCCGCCTTTTCATTGGTGCACGTTACGTTGAGTCCACTTTTAATTTCGTGTAATTCGTAGAATGTACTTATTTATCTACTTATGGAGCTGACCCCATCTTGAGAAGTCAATTCTGCAGCTACTCAAGAATTGCCCAGCATTTTATGGAACCCGAAAGTTTATTACCGTGTTCAAAAGAGCCCTCCACTGGTTCCTATCCTGAGCCAGATCCATCCAATCTATACCATCCCATCTTATCTCTCTAAGATCCGTTTTAATATTTCCCACCCACCTACGCCTTGGTCTTCCCAGTGGTCTTTTTCTTCGTAGAATATATTCATAATTAAACCGATATATCAAGAGGCCTGTCTATTTAAGAGAGGATTTTGTGGGTTTGCAGGTGCGGATGCCTACGTCCAGTAACAACACATCGGTTCGATATCCTGGTACTCTGTCGGCAGGCAAAACGGTGACCATCGCCTCACTGCCCACGACAGCAAACACAGGAACGTACGGCACAGCTCCCGAAAATTCCAGGCTTTTAGGTTCCAGCAACGGAAATGGGGCCGCTTGCAGAGATGAAAGGGACCTCAGAGTAGCTGGTGGAACAGTGGAGAGCCAAGACTTCAATACACCGCCCGGGGAGTCCCCCAACAATTACACTTTCACTCGGCACGCCATTCGTTCCAATTACATGGACAAGAGCATTGATGCCAAAAAGAAGGTACCTATAATGAAATACATTTTTTCTGATAATAAAAATAATGTTAATGATTCGTTGTTATTATTATAACAACGAATCAACAACAACAACAGCAACAGTATATCCAATAGCAATACCAAAAAAAAGGAAAACCCCACATAACTTGTATTGGTAGCATATTGTCACGTGTTAGAACGACTCTTGACGGAGTTTTGGACTGGAGATTGGATTTATTGACCACACTAACACACGACTTGAGACTACACTTAATTATAGCGCCATTTTTTCACACTTTAGAATCCCTGCAGTAAACACTAAGACTTTCTGGTCTCCTGTGTTTTCATCAGTCGCTCCTTGGTAATGGCTGTAACAGTGGGGATTCTTCAACTGCACCGACAAAGTCTTCTCTTCACAGATTCCCTTATAACTTACTTGTTCAACTGACTAACTTCTAAACTTGTCTCAGTTATAACCTCTTTACATGGACCTCGTAGAAAACACCGCTCACTTTTGTACTCCAATCGTTTCCGTGGGAACGTGTTCGTTTGTGACGATTTTGTACAGTCAAGGCTGAGTATGCTTGCTTATTAAGAATATTGTGGCATGCCGCCAAAAATCCGGACGATAAGACGTCCATTGGTAGGCAACGGCTGCGATAAACATGTAAATTTCAGTGGGAACGGAATACCAGCAGGGCGTTACCTAGGAATCGCATAAACAACAAATACGTTTCCCCGGAGTTTAAAGGACAGCAAGAGGTTCGTTGCATAAGAGCGGGCGAAACCAAAGCCTCCTACATGGTGCGCTCTTTTCAGTCCCAATGCACATTATAAAAGTCCAGCTTCGACGAGACCAGTCAGTTTCTAGCGTAGCTCCGACTAGAGCAGAAGCAAGCTCGCATCCGACAAAGGGCAGAAGACACTTCACCAAGATCAGCGGTGCAAATAATTATGAGAGTGAAGAAGAAATGTCTAAATGCTGTTACAAGTTAAGAATGATTGTTCTTGCGAGTGTAAAAGTGACTGTCCAATAAACATATTCCCCAAATCCAAGACCGCCGTGAATTTACTTGTCGCGTTTCCTGGGAAACACGCGACAATATGTTGCCTAGCCGTGAATGTTATTTCGTTGTTTGTTTCGAGGTCGTTACCCAGTAACGACTCTACACGCTGCAATATCTTCACCTACTGAAACCGTAGAAAATGAAATTCTTGTAGCCATATTAAACAGCTATTATATTCTATTAAATATGATTCTTTAGATTGTTATCATATTCTAAATAAGTACAATAATAATTGCCTGACCGTCTTGTAAATTCATAAAATACGTTTTACTGTATTCCTTGAGAAGATCCAAATGTATTTTACTGGTGTAAAAGCCCGTTGTAAAAATAGAACAAAATTACAAAGTGGTCAGTTCTGTCTTCTGCGACATAGCGCCGTGCAGTCCACTGAAAATCATGCGACGTTTCCGAAGAATATTCGGCCTCCATCTTCAGGGCTGAAAAAACGAACAAGAAACCAGGCTATTCTTACTGCCACCTTCACGATATTTCCTTGTTTGGCTTATTCGTAGACCCTGAGGACGGAGGCGATTTGTTGCCTCGAAATTTCGGTTGACTTTCAAAAGTCAAATTCTTTCTGACCGACGGTCAGTAGACCAGTCTATCTTGGAATAAAGCACATATCTGGGACCAGATTTTTATTACTGTCAAACAGTTGCAGGCATATTGATGTGGGGCGCTCTCTCTGACGAGAGCACGGGTCTGCCATTTTACACGACGATATATCCTAGAAGATGGAACTCTTCGTAACAACCTTTGTGAGAACCTCAAACCCACATCGAAAAAATTAATTTGTTGAAAGTGATACTACTACTACTACTACTACTACTACTACTACTACTACTAACAATAATAATTCAATTCAATTCATTTCTTTATTATTTATGTGCCAAGTCAACAGCCGCAAGGCCAATTACAGACAGGGCACAGTGTAGGTAAAAGTAATTACATTATAGACAAACACATTATAAAGTCAAACACAAATTACAGGCAAGCCCTGGGGAAAACACAATAATGTAGAAAAGTAAACAAACAAACAAATAATAATAATAATACTAATAATAATAATAATGGGTTCTGGGTTTGATGACTGGATTTATTGGCACTTC